CCCACCCTCAAGGACCTTATATCCCATAGGGGAGACAATATGGAATGATAGGACCGTAGATTAAGAGTTGAGAATGACCTAAGAGGCTGACAAAATGAAAAGGCTTCACAGAGAAGGTGGCACTTGAGTTGAGTCTTGAAGAAAACCAGGGATTCATAGAGGCAGAGGTGACGAGGGTGTCCATCTTTAGGGGGTGGTTCAGCCAGGGCAAAAGTATGAAGATGGGCGATGGTATGTCATATGGATGGAACAGCAAGTAGACCAGCATGGCTAAAATGTATTTTTCATGGAAGGCAGTAATGTGTAAGAAGACAGGAAAGAGAAGGAGAGCCTAGACTGTAAAGAAACCTAAGTGCTAAATAGAAGAGTTTATTAGATGTAGGAAACAATATACTGAGTAAAAGAGTAACACAGTAGTACCTGTGCTTTGGAAAATGTCTTTGGTAGTGACATGGAGGATAGACTGGAGTGGGTAGAGGCTTTAAGAAAGGAAATCAAATACCAGGCTACTTCAAAAGTTCAGCAGATTGGTGTTCTAGTCTGAACGACGGTGATAGCTGTGTGAGGGTTAAGAAAAGGCATGACTAAGGTAACTCTCAGATTGTAAAAGTGGTATCCTTGACAGAAAATGAAGTTTCTAGAGGGTCAGATTAGGGGAGAAGATAACCAGTTTCCTTTTACACATACTGATTTGGAAATGACGACAGAATATGAAGGTAGAGTTTACTAGCAGGTAGCTAGCAATATGGGACTGGATTTTAGGGGAGAAAATTGGGAGATCCATCTATCTTTCTGTAGATATAGATAGAACAGTTGATCTATCTCTCTACAAAGAAAGTGACAAAAAGAAAGAAAGAAAAAAAGAAAGAGAAAAAAGAAAAAAGGAAGGAAGAAAAAAAGAAAGAAAGAAAAGGAAGATATATTTGAGAGTCTATGAAGATATATTAAGTGAACTCATGCAAACTTAATCACTAACTGTGTGGAAAGGGAAAATGACAAACAAAGGCACCTATGTTTAGGGAATAAGATAGCATCAAGCTAAGAAGACTGAGGAGAAACAAACACGTAGAAAGATATCTAGAACAGGTCAGTACCATGAAAGCCTACAGGTGATACACAGTGTCCGATGTGGTAGGGAGGTCAAAGGCAATGATGAACGAGAAAAGAAAACTGAATTTAGCATATGGTTATCAGGGAGACATAAGAAGAAATTTGAGATGAGAGAGAGAGGAAATAATTAGGAGGACAAACTCCCAGAGAAGAATATAATGGATGGCATAATAATAATGGTTAATAACTAGCTTTTATATAAGGCTTTTAGGTTTACGAAGCACTTTAAATGTTACCTCATTTTACCATCATGACAATCCAATAATCTAAGTGCTATTTTTATCTCCATTTGTACAGACAAGGAAACTGAGGCTACATCAGTAGAGAGGGTCAAGTGACCCTCTCTCACAAGTGACTCAGGATCAAACAGCTAGTAAATGTGTGAGGCATAATTTGAACTCAGATCTTCCTGACTCCAATTCCAGCACACTCTCACTATACTACCTACGCACCTCAGATCAAGGGATTGCGGATACAAATAGAAGAGTTGGCCTGGACAAGAAAAGACATCTCTTCCTCAGAGACTGGGGTATTCTACATCCTGGTCAAAGTAGTCTACTCTGTTTGTCTGAAATGATATAGTATCTCTTCTATCTATGCCTTTTCCAGGTAGTCTCCCAAGTACGGAAAACACTCCATCCTTATATCCACCTCACATACTTCTGAGCTTCCTTCAAAGTCCAGCTCAAGTGCCATCTACACAATACACTTCTCCATCTCTCCACTAATTCATGTTTTCTCTCTCTTTTGAAAATATTTTATATTATTTTACTTTCACACAGATGGGATAATGTATGTAAAGTGCTTTGTAAATCTTAAAGTGCTATTTGCATTGAGCAATTGTTCTTGTTATTGATATTATTAGTCTATCTACTTGGAGAAGGTTTAAGTTTCTTGACCCTTTTTTCTCTGTGTATCTGTAGAATCCAGGCCAGTGACTTGACTGTAAGTGCTTTCTGAATGAATGATTGAACATGGTACGCACAAAATGTCCACTGAATTTAATTGGATTGAATTGAGCAAAGAAAGACAGAATGGGGAATAATGTACTGTGGTTTGAGGTGAAGAACAGGAAAGAAGAGGGAGATCAGAGGAGATGGCTTCTCATTATTTTTTTCAGTAAGGAAAAAGGAGGTGTCACTTGCTGAAGAAGAAGCATCAGGGGATGGCAAGTAGGGCATGAGGAGAGAGGTTTGGAATAGATGTTGTAGAAAATGTGGTGGAATCAATCAGGGAAGAATAAAAGGATTACCATGCAGCAGTGAGGGCTCAGTTGAGATCAAATGATGGGGATTTTTTTTTCATGGACCTAACTGTCCATTGTATGACTATCTCTAGTAGCATTTAAGATCATAGGAGTAGGCCCTGAGGATGATGGTGGAGGTAAATGAAGGCTGAGGTCTGCCAAAGTGTGAATAACAACAGAACAAAGGGGAAAGTATTGAAGGATAAAGGACAGTTCATAGTTGGATGGATTGGTCCATTACAAATAAAGACTATGAAAGGAAGGAAATGCCTAGATGAAAGATTGAGAGAAAGAGGAGAAGTGAAAGGGTTAGATATTGTGGTAACATGAAAGGACAGAGATTTTTGATAGGAAGGCAGCTGTCAAGGGCATAGGTAATGGTGCTCAGGACTAAGATTTACTTTTAGGAAGGCCAACATTTTAGGGCAGGGATAGGCAAAGTACAGCCAGTAGGCCAAATCTAGCTCTACCTGTTTCTCTATAGCTTCAAGCTAAAAAGGTTTTTTTTTTTTAACATTTTTAAATAAAATATTATTGTATTTAAAAATAAAAAAAAATAATACATTCTTATCTGGGAAAAAAGTATAGGAGCAGAATACAGCTTGACTTAGCTAAGTCCATGAGCAGCTGAAAACAAATAGAAGCTTAATAGCTGCCATACAAATGTATACACACACACACACACACATGCACACATACATACACGCACATACAACATGAGCTACCTCTATTTCTCTGAGTTTGAAAGAGAACCATCTAATAGACACTTTCTACTAAAAACTGGAAATAAGTCAGCAATTGAACAAGTACAATATTGCGCATCTTATATTTCAAGATTTAGTCTTATAATTCAAATTTCGATGTCATGCTTATACTAATTAATTTCATTTATACTTCAACACTAAATGTAAGGCATATTTCATTTTATGACTGCTTGTAAGTCCCCGTCAGTGACATCTATCACTTTGTCACCACTTATGTTTGAAGATAAATTTTATTATGTAGTAACTCTAAGTATCTGTGGGGATGAATGGGCAGGATCTAGAGGGTACTACAAGCTGCTCTTAAGTTAGCAAGTGAGAATGTATGAGACTCAGTTAACAATTTTATTTGAGGCATTTAAGAACTGCTAAGTAACCTAAATTATTTAGTGTATAAAATTATGTAGCGTATAGCTCTCATGACAAATATAATATATAATAACTATTCTTGAAATATGCTTCTGTTAATAATAAAAGAAAAACCATAAAAAGCAAAGTTTAACTAATATTTCCAATCATAGATGCTTTGATTGATTGTATTTATATGGGAATAGCCCATCTTAAACTTCACAAATACTATAGATTGAAAATATTCAAGGTTTGAAAACATTTCAAGGGTCATTTTATTGAGGTCCTTCTTGGCATAGACATTAACAAAATCTCTGGAGTTATGTTTTTTATCTTTGAAGTTCTATGGCAAAGACGCATTGGGAACACTCCATTCTTGAACTCTCAGATTCTCATGATAAGAATGGTTCAATGGTTCATGATAATGGCTCAAAGGGTATCTCTAGGCAAGGAGAGATGAATATGGAACTGAATATCACTCAAATCACAACAAATGTTGTGGATACAAAAGATGAGAATGAATCTCAGGAACAAAAAAGGGAAGAGCAAACAAGCAAATTATGTGGAAGGAGGAAGCATCTTTGCTTTCAAAGTACCTCCTCTAACCATCCTCTTTTTCCTCTCACAGATGTCTGGGATGACATTGGAAGCATCCTATATGTGTGGTTTTTTTCCCTTCTCTCTTTATGAGACAACTTTATTTTCTAGCAGCTGCTGTGATTCACAATCTATCACTTTCACAAGGCATTTAACTATTACCCACTTTATGTGAATGACAAGATATACTGTCAGTTTCCTGACAGATGTGAAACAAGAAGTCACTGGTCTGTTGGGATTCTGAAATAATTATACATTCACTAGACAACAAAAACACTCCTGTCTTCTATTTTTTTTTCTTTTTTAAAAGATGCAATATGTGGATCCAAAGAATGGCTAACCAGAACTCTGAGTGTAAGAAAACAAGGAAGTAGGTGGTTGGGGTATAATTAATTCAAGAGAAACTGTTAAGTGAGATACCTGATCCCACAGTGGGCAGAAAAGGAAAAAAAAATGCTGTCTCATCCTAACCTAAAGTACTGGAGTTCTTAAATCCTCCAAGCTGAATGCATGCATCTGGATACATTTACTATAAATTTCCTTCTTTGAATTTCTATGATTTTTGGGGGTTGGAGTGGGGCTTAGATAGTATAAACTACAGAGAAAGAGACTCCATCAGTAGAGGAAGTAACCCCGTCTGGGAGTTCCCTCTGTCTTAATAAAATCCTAAGTCCTGTCTTTATGCCCTAATCCTCTCCTGAAGAAATTATTCGTTCCTACTATAACAAATACTTTATACAAAGCATTTCAAATTTGTGTCCAATACATCAAGGAAATATGAATTGAGAATCTATAATTAAAAAAGAAACAAATAGGGAAATACGAAAACATTATTTTGCCTTCCTAGCTTTCAAATCTGACTGTTTTTGACTCTCCAAATAAAAATACTAACATTTTACATCAACATTAGCTAAGGGAGAAGAAATTATCAAACCTACTTTTTCTTTAGTCGCCGGTCCTTCTCAGCTTGGGTTCCAAGTTTGCCTAAGCCTAGGGACTCCTGTGCCGCAGCTTCCGTCTCCATAAAGCCTCCTATGGAGAAATATTTTAGATTAGATTATATTAATACAAGTATGTTGAACCTACTAAGTACTTAACAAGCTGCTAAACTTTTCTTTTCTTCAGCATCATCATCATCATCATCATCATCAATATTTTGCTGCTAAATGTCTGAAAGGGTGTCAGCAATCAGTGCCTCCATTTTCTCACCATCCTCTTGCTATCTTTGATGTCTAGCAATTTGGCAGCTATCTCCACCTAAGATGCTCCCTCCAAAGTCACCAGTCAACTTCTAAATGAGAAATTGTATATGTATACACACATATATACACGAACACATAATAAACACACAAATACATACACATATATGTATATGTACACACATTTATGTATATATGTGCATGCACAGATACATACACATATACATATATACACACAAAGATATATACATACATATACACATATATACACTTGCATACACATACATATACTTAGATACCTATAATCATACTTACATATAGACATATACATTAATATGCATCTATGGAAGACTGTGCTATACTTGTTTGCCCTCTGTTTCTCTGAGGGTGGATAACCCCTTCCTTCCTTCCTAAGTCAGAGTCTTTCTGTATTTTTCTAAGCCCATCAACTCATCGCTTCCTACACCACAGCAACAACCTACCTTATACTGTCTAGTTATTTTCAATAGTCTAAAACAATATTGATTATATGGCTGACATATAATGTAGTTTCTCTATTTTTCTCTTTTGATTAAATTTATTTTAGCTTTAACTTTGTCTGAGATCATGATTACTACCTCTGCTTTTTCCCCTAATAAATTCTAGGCACATACTTTGGGCAGGTTGGCAGGTAAATATTTCATAAGGGGATTAAGTTGGGATTAAAGGAAAGAATATATGGAAAGTAGTTTTACAAGAAAATGGTCAATGATCTCTCTCTCTCCCTCCCTCTTCTTCCCCCTCCCTCCCTCTCTCTCTTAACTTCTCTCAACCCCTCCCAGTCCTTCCCCTTGTTATCAATCCTTTCAGCTCTATTTATATTCAACTCTTTGTTGCCCCATTTGGGGTTTTCTTGGCAGAGATACTGCAGTGGTTTGCCATTTCCTTTTCCAGCTCACTTTACAGATGAGCAAAATGAGGCAAACAGGTTTAAATGATTTGCCCTGGGACACACAGCTTACAGTAAGTGTCTGAGGCCAGATTTGAACTCAAGAAGAGGAGTCTTCCGGACTCCAGACCCAGCACTCTATCCACTATGCTATCCAACCACCCTCACCTTCCCCTTACCTTCCTCTATTTTTAAAGCTTGCACATTTACAATGTTACAAGTTACAAGTATACAAATACACCCTATTCCAAGGAGTATAAAATTTGATATATTAACATACAACTAAGTTAAAACATTGAAAAAAAAATGTGTGCTGACTTTCAGAAGTCAATTGGTTTTTCTTCCTAAAAAATAATGACTCCTATACTCAGTCTCGTTATTTTCATCTTATACAAGTGTTTCAAAAATTCTAAAAACTTTCATCCAAAACCCCTGGTGGGTACAGTGTCATTCCCCAGCAGATTCTACAACACTTGGTTTAATGCCAGTATTCTGGGTTCATAGAGTATACACAGCCTCAGGGCAGAAAAGGGGAGAAATAAAAACATGCTGGGCACTAACAGTAAGACTGTTGCAATTTACAATGCAATTATTTCTTTCAGGACTCTTAAGTGGATAATTAACTCATAAATTATCTACTGAACTATAAAAATGAACATTTTCTTCTGTAGTTTTTATTTTCAGCATTGGTTAGACTCAGAAAAAAACTTGAAAAAAAGGGGGCCATTATCATCAGATAATTTTATGAAGCCATTTATTTAATCGCAAAGTTCAAGTTCAAACTGTGGATACTGTCAACATTAGACAGAGAGGTTTAGCTAATGCTAAGTCTCTCAGAGGAAAAAGCCCAGAATTTTGCAATATTATTACGATCATTGAGCCCCACTAAAACCAGCAACTTGCCTTCTATTTCAAGAGTATAGGAAGCATCTAACCAAAGTAATAACTCATCTGTGGCTGTTTGCTTTTTTACCAATTAATTAAAAAGCATTTATTAAACACTCAGTAAACGTCAGGCACTTAATTTTGTAATGGGAGTACAAAGAGAAAAGTGAAAAGGTCCCTGCCCTCAGGGGAATTACATTCTAATCAGTTGACAAGACATACATAGATAAATATCGATGGAGATAATATACCTAAAGCAAAGTTACAAACCTTAATTTGTCATGTAAATGCTAGCTATTCTAAATATTAATAACAACACAACCACTACCTGGTAGCAGAAGGGAACTGGAGAAGGTAGAAAGTGAATCTTGAAAGAAATCTGGGATTCTAAGAGATGGGTGTGCAAAGGAAATGCATTTCCCACTTGATGATCAGAGAATACAGTTATGAATCAAGCAAGTAATAATCAATTGATAAACATTTGTTAAGCACCAACTATGGGCCAGATTGGGCAGCTAGGTGGAGCAGTGGATAGAGCACTGGGCTTGGAATCTGGAAGACTCATCTTCCTGTGTTCAAATCTGGCCTCAGACACTTAGTAGTTGTGTGACACTGGGCAAGTCACTTAACCCTATTTGTCTCAGTTTCCTCATATGTAAAATGAGCTGGAGAAGGAACTGGCAAACCGCTCCAGTATCTTTGCCAAGAAAACCTCAAACGGGGTCATGAAGAATCAGATACGGCTGAACAACAATAACTAATCAAAAATCATGGGCCAGATTGCTATTGAGATGAAAGATAGAGAAATGTGTGAAACAGTAAGTAGTTCAATACATAAGCATAGGAGAGAGGCTGGAAAGGCAGACAAGACCCCAGCTTATGAACACTTAAATTTTAAACAAAAGAGATTTTGCTCTTGATGTAATGGGGAGCTAGCCAATGGAGTAAATGGATGGGGGTGGGGAAGAGGGGAGTGAAACAAAGTCTCATTGCTTTGCATGGCACATAGACCTTTTATTATACTATTACAGGGTAAGATGGTTGCTCAGATTGGTTTTTTTTTTTAAATCTCAATGAGAGCATTACAACCTCTAACTTAATCTCTCATAGCTTAATATCTTTGCTCTTAGTATCAAGAACAATTTTCTTTTAAGATGTCAACACATTGTTCTGATTTAGTGAATTCGATTTGGGGATCACAAATGCATCTTACCTGATTATGTATATGTTCCATGAACATTTCCAAACTTTTTTTTTCCAGCATGGAAAATTTTAATTTCTTTGGCCCCCTCCAATCCATAAAAAAGTGTGCCCATCACTAACTTAAGATTTCTTATCTTAGTACTTACTTAAGCAAGGCACTAAATTCTATTATTCTAGAAAAGCAATGCACTGCAAGGCTAAAGTATCCCTTAAGGATTATTGTTTAAGACTTGAATTTTCCATGAAAGAGTTGGTGAAGACTTTCATTTTATTGTTCTCTTTTCACACATTTGAATTACTGTGTACTCATAAATTATCATGCATAATCTGCCAGTGATAATAAAATAGGTCTTTTGGAATGTAAATCGGAATTAACAAATTCAGTCAAAAGTTATAAAATTCTCAATCAGCCCAGATGGAGAGCTATTTAATAGAATCTGAAACATTTTGAGTTACCAGGTGGTCAAATGAATCTTCCCTTCATAGTAAAACAAGGAAAAGTCTATTATTATTTAAGTGAGTTCTTTTTCAAGAACACAATGTTTTAGGGGATGAGAAAGACAACAGATATAAATAAGGAAACCACTGCAGAGCAGAAATTCTAAATCATATCCTAGGAAAATTATAGGATATGTAGTTTCTATAAACAAAACTCAAGTAATAGGAAAAACGAGATGTTTAGAAATATTCTGAATATACGGAATCCTGGTAAGACGTGGGTACCAGTTCTATCTCCGCTAGATTCTGGCTGTGTAACCCTGGATAAATTACCTAGCCTCTACAAACAATAATTTTCTTTTTTGTAAAATGCGTATAACAAAGTTTCTAATATCTCCTTCACAAGGCTATTATAACACAATAATTTACTTAAACTATTTTGCAATATTGAGGCATTGTAACATGTGTTACTTTCATTTTTATCCTCATAGTAAAAAAAATATGGAATAATAATAAGGGATAATAGGGCAAGATCATTTTAAAAAATACTGAAATGAAAGTGCAACAAAACCTAGTTTCTTTCTTGTAATTCATTTTTTAAACAGTTACCAGAGAAAATTTTCAAAATATGTTGTTTGACCTTGTCATTTTGCTTTTCAAAAGCCATTGTGGATTCCCATGCTAAGATTTGCTAGTCAAGGTTCTCCATGATGTCCTCATTCTACCTTTCTGGTATTATCTTGTACTCTTCTCTTTCATCAGTTCTTCATTCAAGCCAACCTGGTTGACACACTGATGCAGAAACATAGAATCTCAGGGGTGGAAGGTCCAGACCCCAGAGGTCATCTAGTCCATCCCATCCCCAAATAGCAACCTCTTCTACAACATAGCCAACAAATAGCGATCCCGCCTCTGCTTGAAGACCCCTAAGGAACAGGCATCCAGTGGTTCCCAGGGCAGCTCATTCCACTCCTGTGTAGCTGTAGATACTCAGAGTTTTTCCTTGGGTAGAATGTGAGTCTGACTATGACTATACTTGGATCAAAAATGGGTCTCTGCAATTTCCATTCATTGCTTCTAGTTTAGCCCTCTAAGACCATGCAGAAGAAGTCTAATATACCTTAAAAATAATAGCCCTTAAAATATTAAAAGAGAACAAATAACTTTCCCCTCCACTGACCCCTAGTCTTCTCTTTGTTGTTCAGTCCTTCAGTTGTGTCCAACTCTTCATGACCCCATTTTGGGTTTTCTTGGCAAAGATACTGGAGCGGTTTGCCATTTCCTTCTCCAGTGGATTAAGGCAAACAGCAGCTAAGTGACTTGCTCAGGGTCAAGGAGTGAGTAAATGTCTGAGGCTGGATTTGAACTCAGGTCTACCTGACTCTAGGCCCAGTGGTCTATCTACTGAGCCACCTATATGACCCACCTCCTTTCTAGCTTCCTTTTATGTGGTGTCTTTTACATATTAGAATACAAGGTTCTTGAGGGCCAGGGACTGTTTTGCTCACTTGTATTTCTTTTCTTTTCTTTTTTTTTTTGGCTAGGCAATAGGGTTAAGTGACTTGCCCAGGGTCACACAGCTATTAAGTGTTATGTGTCTGAGGCTGGATTTGAACTCAGGTCCTCCTGAATCCAGGGCCAGTGCTCTATCCACTGCACCACCTAGCTTCCCCCTCACTTGTATTTCTGAACCCAATGCTTGGCACACAGCAAACACTTAATAAATGTTCTACCTGATTTTTGAAAGAAGTCTATTGCCAAAAAACAAAAACAAAACAAAACAAAAAATTCCAAAATAGCAATCTGGATGCTCAAGGAATGGATTGAGAACCAAAAAAGGCAGGAAGAGTAGATTTAGGAAGAGGTTGAGAAAAAAAGACTGAGATTTTGGGCTTGGTGTTGCCATCAGCTAAACAATGGATGAAAAAAATCTCCCACCATGTTATTAAAATGTTAGGCTGCATAAAAAAAAAAATTAACAATGACCTACTAGGCTATTTGGCATGCACTGTTGTGTATCAAAAATTAAGAACAAGCTAATGTTATAAAACCCACAAATATTTGAGAAAGTAAAGAAAATGGAAACAGAAAGAAGAGAAACAAAATCTATCTCGGTAAGTCGCTTTTATGTACTGAACAATCAAACTCATCCCCTTACTCAATTATGCAACACTCACTCATTCCCCCTCCCCTCCCCCCTTACTCCCCTGGGAGTTATTTAATACTCTGGCTGAAGTATATTTAATCACTCAGCTATCGGCACAGTAGTTTCCTAAAGCTTCTAATGCTCTCATTGGGTTTTACACTGGGAAAGTCTGGAAAGATGTGTTATTTAAAATTTGTGTGTGTGTGTGTGTGTGTGTGTGTGTGCGTGTGTATCTTGAAGACTACAGGCCAAAATTGGTAACCAAAAATATCATGTTCACAAAGTCTCCCAGCACCAAGTCAGGAAGCTAAAAGCTTGGGGAACCTGGCTTTTGAATAAATCTGACTTCTCTTAGGTTGGGAAACAAAAACGGACTCTCTTGCTGAGTCAATAACTCCATTTTTTTTTCCCGTGGTGTTACAGGTTATGAGTGAAACTGTGTCCTAGTGATCAGCCTGACTCTAGCCCTCCTCCCAAACAGAACTCAAGGAAAACAGGAAGATACCAAAAACAAAAATTGAAAAAAAAAAAGAAACACTGCACTCTCAACATTGAAGTTGAGAAAAAAGGATACATGATATAACTAGGCATTTGGAGAAATGTAATAGCTAAGAAAATGTATAAGATGGAGGACCCAATGATAAATGATACTGCCAGATAGTCATCATATAAGAGACTGTCCTGTATGTCTGTGTCGAGAGCCATTTTCAGTTGTATGACAATGTATAACAATCTCATATTTGAGCCTGGTCAACCCCACAAAAAAGTCTAAAAACTCTAAGTCATTACAAGGTTAAAAAAATCAAATCTTACAAGTTTCCAGACAAATTCCAGTTTGGCCTTTTTAGCCCTTCATTATTTGGTTTTAACCTACCCTTTTATCCAAATTATATATTACTTCCCTTCATGTACTCTTTATTTCAGTCAACATAACTTTTCTGATGTTCTTCATAGAAAAGATTTCAACTCTCTTCTCTGTGGTTTTATACAGCATGTGTCCAATGCATAGAAATGCATCCTCAGCTCTATCACAAATATTCCCTCTCACATATCTTCAACCTCTTCCCTACCTATTTACTCATTCCTCCCCTACTGCCCTCAACATGTCTAAACCTTTTCAATTAAAAAAAATATACTAGACCCTAAATACCCTGAATTTCTCTCCTCCCTTTTTTTCCTTTCTTCTTCTTCTTCCTTCCTTCGTCCTCCTCCTCCTTCTCCTCCTTCTTCTTTTGGAGGCCATTGGTGTTAGGTGACTTGCCCAGGGTCACACAGCTTGTAAGTGTCTGAGGTTGCATTTGAACTCAGGTCCTCCTGACTCCATGAATGTTGCAGTATCCACTATGCCATTTAGCTGACCTCTCTCCTCACTTTCTTGCTCAAACTCTTGGTAAAAAGATCTCTATACTCATTGTCTCTGTTCCCTTCCTTCACAATCACTCCTCAATCCTATGAATTTGGTTTCCCACTTGATTCATTTCTCAACTGAAATTGCTCTCTTCAAAATTATTGATAATGCCCTCATTCCAAATCTGATGGTCTTTTCTCAGCTTTCATCCTTCTTGATCTCCCTTCTCCTTCTGAATAACTCTCCCCTCCCTGAGTTTTCATGACACCATTCTCTCCTGACGCTCCTCTCATCTTCCTGAAGCCCTTCTCCATTCTTTGCAGGTTCATCTTCCATACCATGCCCCAAGATCATTTGTGTTCTCTAAGGCTTTCTCATGGACCCTCTTTTCTTCATTCAGTGAACTCATCTGCTCTCATTGGCTTAATTATCACCTCTATGTAAAATGATCTCTACAGATGACTCAGAGACCCATAGAGCTGACTCAGTGTTTCTCTCAAGTTCCAGGCCAGTGTCTCCAGCTGCCTACGGGACATTTCCAGTTGACTGTTCCAAACACATTTCCCAATCTACAAATCCAAAGCAGATCAAACTCATATCTTTTCCAAACTTCCCTGTTTCTGTTGAACACACCACCATTTTTTTTCTCTCATGATCAAAACTATGGCATTATCCTCCAGTCTCCCCTCATCCCACATCTTCAATTAGTTTTCATATCCTGTCATTTCTACCTCCACCATATTTTTTTTAATTTTGTATCCAATCTCTTCTCTCCATTCTCACAGTAATAATCTTAGGTCAGTCCTTTATAACTTCTTGTCTAAATTATTGCAACAGCTTCCTAATTGGTCTTTCTGCCTCAATTGTTTCTCTCTTCTACTTATGTTGCATACAACTGCCCAAGTGATTGTCCTTGAGGAAAGTTATGCTCATGTCATTCCCCTACATAATAAACTCCAGTTATTCCCTATCGCCTCCAAGATAATATATGAACTCCTCCATTTAAGTTTTAAAGCTTTTCACTACTTGGTCCCAATATATCATTTCAACCTCTCTGAATATTATTCCTTCTCCAGCATGCTACAATCCAATCTGCAGTATCTTCTCTCTCTTCCTTGCACATAGACCTCTACCCATCTTCTTGACCTTACAATGACCTTTCCTCTTGCCTGGAAGATGATCTCTCTTCACATTTGCTTCATAGACTTTCTCTCTCCCTTTCAGACATAGGTTAAGCATCATTCTTTCCATGAAGTCTTCCTGATTCTCTCCCTTCTATATCTGGTCCCAAACTGCCAGCCCTCCCTAACTACCTAGCCTTTATTCTCTATATATTCTACTGTGTATACCTGTGAATGTACATGTCTCCCCATTAGAATACAGATTTCTTGAGAGTAAGGATGAGTTCACTCTTTGTATCCATATCCCAGAGATTACCAGAATGCCTGGTACATAATGGGTGCTTAATAAATGCTTATTGTGATTAGAATCTCTAGTATCCTTCAGAGATCTTATCAAATGTCAGTTTTTACATGAAACCTTTCCTGATCTTCCTAGCCATTAGAGTCCCCGGCTTCTACCTCCATGACCTACCTTGTCCCCGTCAGTTCCTGTTTTAATTCTGTCTAAATTTTGTACACATTGCCTCCCCCTATAGACTGGAAGCTCCCTGAGGGGAGGAATTCTTTCTTTTTTCTTCCTTCCTTCCTTCCTTCCTTCCTTCCTTCCTTCCTTCCTTCCTT